TAAAAAACAGCACTTAGCAGAGCCACAGGCAAGCAGAGTCCTACTTAGGTGCCCTCTCGCACCATCCTTCTCTGGATGCCCCAAAGCGACTCATAATTTAGCCTGACTTCTCTGCATCTGGTTTTCAAGGACACGCTTTTGTCACGGCTGACTAAATTGAGGGGTGGCTTTAAAGATGTTTTCTGAAGAGCAGGAACGTCTGCAGCTCATGTCCATAGCATCCCAGTGTGACAGCACTGAGTGGCCCTACTCGTTCCTTCAGCAGGCGGTCGTTGAGCACCTACTCTGTGCCTGACAGTGTGCCTGGTGCACGAGAAATAGTCCTTGTCCTGAGAAAGCGTACGCAGCGGCAGCAGCGCGCGAGCAGCACGCGCACACTCCCCCAGCCCCGCCAGGTCAGACGTGGTCGTAATTTGGGGAAGGGCTGAGGCAAAGACTGCACTTGTGGGAGTCTAGAAAGCATGTGTTCTAAGCAAACTAAGAGAAAGCATTCGTCGTTCCTCCGCCTAAAGGTACGAGTGACGTACAGGGCCTAGGCGCTTCCGGTGCCATGCTTCGGCACTGAGGGCCGACAGCACGTCCAAGCACTCACCTTAGCAGGACAAGCCTCTGCCCTGCTGCCATCCCAGTTGATGGGGTGGGACCTACAGGAAGGAAGGGAAACCTGCAAGTGCAAAGGTAAACGGGAGCGTGGTGAGGCCGTGTCCTAGGCTGAGGAAGGGCCAAAGGAGCAGCCATGGCAATGACACGGCGACTGCAGCCAGTCGGTGCAATGTGAGCTGTCCTAACCCCCAGTGTCACAGTGGCTTAATGCAAGTCAGGTTTTTTCTTCACTTGCATAATAATGTCCAACATGGGTTTTCCTTCGTTGGTGGGTAGCTCGTCTCCTAGCCGGAGTTCAGGGATCCAGGTTCTTTTCATCCGGTGACTCTACCATCCTTGGTCTATGACTTCTCTCTCAGGTCTCAAGAAAGTGAAGAACGGGTGGGAGGTTTTTATGGGCTGTGCTGGAAGTTCACATGCTACTGTTAGACCGCGACACCTGGCCACGCCCAGCTGGGAGGGGGGCTGGGAAATGCAGTCCCTCTGCATCTGTGCTCAAGAATAGGAGCAATCACTTTGGTAACCAGCTAGTCCAGACTGCCACACTGGGCTAGAGGTCGGGCTCAGCGCTGTCTCTGATGCCTAGTTGAGAGCCGCAGGCCTTCCTGGTCATTCGGTCTCTACGGTCGTTTCGTCCATGCCTCGCTGCCCGTAGCCTTGTTCGCGCTCACATCCCCGTTTTAGTTCACCAGAGCACTTACTACTACCTGAGTGAGTACCGCATGGGAGGCCCCTAATCACTCAGTGCTCCATGAATGAATGACCCCCTGAGCCCTGAGTGAATGGCTCAACGGAGGAAGTGGAACTTGAGCTGGGTATTAAGTAGCCTTTACCTTGGGAATAAAGAGATCAGGAAAAGAAAGGCGGCAGAGTAAAAGAAGGCAGAGATGAATGTATGGAGCCGAGTCACATCCATTCAACTGAGACTTGCGTGCCTGTAAGAGTTTCAGTTCTGGGGCCGCCTCCTCCATACCCCTGAAAGACTGTCCACGCCAATAGAAGTCGATGACTACCAGAATGTATAAGGAAAAATAAGACCTAATGATATACTATCTATAAGAGGTGTGCTTTAAATGTAGAGACAGATGAGTGAAAAATGAGTTTCCCTTACAGACTGTGAAGGGGGTGGGGAGGGGAGAAAGACATCACAGACCATCATGGCATGCTAGAGACTTTGAAAACAGAAGACCTCCGGTCTAGACATGGGTAAGCCGCTGCCCCCCACCCCTCATGCTGTACACCAGAAATTGGACAACACTGTAAACTGCACTTCAACAAAAATGTATGTAAATAAGTAAAATTAATTTTCCTGAGTATAGAATTCTATATTGAGAGTTATTTTCCTTGAGCCACTTTTGCCCGCTGGCTTCCATTGGTCCTGCTGCATAATCAGTTGATCATCTAAAGCATATTCCTTTGAAAGCCACAAGTCTGCTCTGTCTGCCACTTTGGCCTTGGGTTTTTGTACCGTCACTATGCTAGGGCTCAAGATAGCTTACCGCCTAGTGTTTTGTTTTTGTTTTTTGGTAGATCTTGTTTGTGGGTTTTGGTTCTGTTCTCCTAGTCATTTTGTTTTCTGGCAGTGATGATGAGATACTGTAGACGTTATCGTCCATCACAGTTTTCCCAGATTGTCTGTGTCCTCACTCTTGAGCGATAGTTTAGCAGGGTATAGAAACCTGCATTGTTAGTTTATTGTCTCCTGTGTCTAATCTTGCTGATCAAAAAGTGTGCTAACAGTCTAAACGTTGTACCTTTGCCAAACGGAAAGATGAAATCTTAAAAGCCATCAGGGAGCCTTTCCCCTCTATATGTGCAGTACAGGGTGTGTCTGCAAGGTGGCGTGGTCCTGGTGGAGGGCATCATCTGCGGACAAGTGTAGTGGGAAAGGTATGCCGGAACAAATCAGGCGTGTCGAAAGGTTCATGAGTCCACACTGGAACAGTTCCACTTATCGTGGATGTGTTATTACATGCCCAACTTAAGTAGGATCAAACGTCTGCCACAGTAGTAAACATACAAACCAAAAAACTGGATTTGAGTTTAGCAAGAACGACTAGCGTCTGCTGGGCCTGATTTTTATCATTCATCTACATGGCTCAGTGCAATGAACTCATGTCAGAGTGAGAGCCACACTTCCAAATTAATGGATGTCGTTGAACCACATTTAAGTTACATGGAAAAGTGGTCTGTGTGAAGGATGTCCCTGAAATGAAGTGGGGTTTTTTTAAAGACTTGAAATAACTTTGTGATGAGTGATAAGCCTTAAACTCAAGGGGGAAGAGGTAAAATAAGTGTTTTACTATTGGGCATACCTCTGCACCCATGGGCGGAATTACAACCTCAAAACCCAGCAGATGGTGTTCTGGTCTACGTGGCATTATGGCAAGGCAAACAGTGGGCAGAATTACGCATTCACCAACCGCCTACCTGTGATCACTGCGACTGAGCAAAAGGATGGGTGAGATGTAACTTTTGATCCTAATGGTGAATGAGTGTCCATCAAGTCCAGAGAAGTCTGTTGGGGAAATGAGGCCCATAAGTTAATTGAGACCTTTTGGGCAAGTTCATATGTATAGACAGCAACTTAGGAAGGTATGTAGCACTCTCACTGCACGTATGTAAAAATGAAATTTGCTTTCTGCCTCCAGCAAAAACTCTCCTCTGTCCTTCCCC